CATGTGGTTTTTATCTTTGGTTCTGTTTATATGGTGGATTATGTTTATAGACTTGCTTATGTTGAACCAGCCTTGCATCCCCAGGATGAAGCCTACTTGATCGTGATGGATAAGCTTTTTGATATGCTGTTGCAATTGGTTTGCCAGTATTTTATTGAAGATTTTTGCATTGATGTTCATCATGGATATTGGCCTGAAGTTTTCTTTTTTTGTTGAGTCTCTGCAGGGTTTTGGTATCAACATGATGTTGGTCTCATAAAATGATTTGGGAAGGATTCCCTCTTTTTGGATTGTTTGAAATAGTTTCAGTAGGAATGGTACCAGCACCTCTTTGTATGTCTGGTAGAATTCAGCTGTGAACCCATCTGGACTTGGGCTTTTTTTGGTTGGTAGGCTATTAATTACTGCCTCAACTTCAGTCCTTGTTATTGGTCTGTTCAAGGTTTCAACTTCTTCCTGGTTTAGGCTTGGGAGGATGCAAGTGTCCAGGAATTTATCCATTTCTTTCAGGTTTACTGGTTTATATGCATAGAGTTGTTTGTAGTAATCTCTGATGGTAGTTTGTATTTCTGTGGAATTGGTGATGATATCCCCTTTTTCATTTTTTATTGCATCTATTTGATTATTCTCCCTTTTCTTTTTTATTAATCTGGCTAGCAGTCTGTTTTGTTGATCTTTTCAAAAAACCAGCTTCTGGATTTATTGATTTTTTTTTTTGAAGGATTTTTTTGTGTGTGTCTCTATCTCCGTCAGTTCTGCTGTGATCTTAGTTATTTCTTGTCTTCTGCTAGCCTTTGAGTTTTTTTTTGGTCTTGCTCCTCTAGCTCTTTCAATTTTGATGATAGAGTGTTGATTTTAAATCTTTCCTTGCTTCTCTGGTGGGCATTTATTGCTGTAGATTTCCCTCTAGACACTGTTTTAAGGGTGTCCCAGAGATTCTGGTACATTGTGTCTTCATTCTTGTTAGTTTCAAAGAACATTTTTATTTTGCCTTCGTTTCATTGTTCAGGAGCAGGTTGTTCAGTTTCCATGAAGTTGTGCAGTTCTGAGTTAGTTTCTTAATTCTGAGTTCTAATTTGATTGCACTGTGGTCTGAGAGACTGTTTGTTATGATTTCCATTCTTTTGCATTTGCTGAGGAGTGATTTACTTCCAATTATATGGCCAATTTTAGAGTAGGTATGATGTGGTGCTCAGAAGAATGTATATTCTGTGGATTTAGGGTGGAGATTTCTGTAGATATCTTTTAGGTCCACTGAGTTCAAGTCCTGGATATCCTCGTTAATTTTTTGTCTCGATCTGTCTAATATTGACAGTGGAGTGTTAAAGTCTCCCACTATTATTGTGTGGGTGTCTAAGTCTCTTTGTAGGTCGTTAAGAACTTGCTTTATGTACCTGGGTGATCCTGTATTGGGTGCATATATATTTAGGATCGTTAGCTCTTCTTGATGCATTGATTCTTTTACCATTATGTAATGCCCTTCTTTGTCTCTTTTTGCTCTTTGTTAGTTTAAAGTCCATTTTATCAAACACTAGGATTGCAACTCCTGCTTTTTTTTGCTCTCCATTTGCTTGATAAATCTTCCTCCATCCCTTCATTTTTTAGCCTATGTGTGGGAGATTGGTTTCCTGAATACAGCACACTGTTGGGTCTTGACTTTTTATCCAATTTGCCAGTCTGTGCCTTTTGATTGGGCTATTTAGCCCAATTATATTAAGGTTAATATTGTTATATGTGAATTCGATCCTGGCATTTTGATGATAGCTAGATGTTTTGCCCATTAGTTGACGTATTTTCTTCATTATGTCAATGGTCTTTGCAATTCGGTATGTTTTTGCAGTGGCTAGCACTAGTTGTTCCTTTCCTTGTTTAGTGCTTCTTTCAGGAGCTCTTGTAAGGCAGGCCTGGTGGTGACGAAATCTCTCAGCAATTGCTTGTCCATTTTATTTCTCCTTCACTTATGAAGCTTAGTTTGGCTGGTTATGAAATTCTAGGTTGAAAGTTCTTTTCTTCAAGGATGTTGAATATTGGCCCCCCACTCTCTTCTGGCTTGTAGGGTTTCTATAGAGAGATCCACTGTGAGTCTGTTAGGCTTCCCTTTGTGGGTAACCCAATCTTTCTGGCTGCCTTTAGCATTTTTTCCTTCATTTTAACCCTAGTGAATCTGACAATTATGTGCCTTGGGGTTGCTCTTCTGGAGGAATATCTTTGTGGTATTCTCTGTATTTCCTGTACTTGTATGGTGGCCTGCCTTGCTAGGTTGGGGAAGTTCTCCTGGATAATATCCTGAAGAGTATTTTCCAGCTTGGATTCTTTCTCTCCATCATATTCAGGTACACCTATCAAGCATAGATTAGGTCTTTTCACATATCCCATATTTCTTGGAGGCTTTGTTCATTTCTTTTCTCTCTTTTTTCTCTATTCTTGCCTTCTCAGTTTATTTCATTGAGTTGATCTTCAATCGCTGATATCGTTTCTTCTGCTTGGTCAGTTCGGCTATTGAAACTTCTATATGCTTTGTGAAGTTCTCGTGCTGTGTTTTTCGGCTCCATCAAGTCATTTGTATTCTTCTCTAAGCTGTTTATTCTAGTTAGCATCTCATCTAACCTTTTTTCTAGGTTCTTAGTTTCTTTGCATTGGATTAGCACATGTTCTTTTAGCTCTGAGAAGTTTGTTATTACCCACCTTCTGAAGCCTGTTTCTGTCAGTTCATCAGATTCATTCTCCATCCATCTTTGATCCCTAGCTGGTGAGAAGTTGTGATCCTTTGGAGGAGGAGAAGCATTCTGGTTTTTGGTGTTTTCATCCTTTTTGCACTGGTTTCTTCCCATCTTAGTGGCTTTATCTACCTGTGGTCTTTGTAGTTGGCGACTTCCGGATGAAGTCTCTGAGTGGACATCCTTTTTGTTGATGATGAAGTTATTTCTTTCTGTTTCTTAGTTTTCCTTCTAACTGTCAGGCCCCTCTGCTGCTGGACTACTGGAGGTCCACTCCAGACCCTGCTTTACCTGGGGATCACCTGCGGGGCTGCAGAATGGTAAGGGTTGCTGCCAGTTTCTTCTTCCGTTATCTTTGTCCCAGAAGGGTACGCACCAGATGTCAGCCTGAGCTCTCCTTTCTGAGGTGTCTCTTTGGGTATACAGGGGTTGGGGAGCTGCTTGAGGAGACAGTCTGTTCCTTACAGGAACTCAGTGCTGTGCTGGGAGCTCCATTGTTCCATGCAGAACTGCTGGGCAGGTACCTTCAAGTCTGCTGCAGCAGAACTTATAACCACCTCTTTTCCCAGGTGCTCTGACCTAGGAAGATCAGCTTTATTTATAAGTTCCTGACGTGCTGCTGCCTTATGTCAGAGATGCTCTGCCCAACACAGAGTAGTCTAGTCACAGTCTGCCAGCAGAGGCATTGCTGAGCTGCCGCAGGCTCTGCCCAGCTGCTATGTCAACTGCCCCAGTATTGGCAGACTGCCTCAGTAGCGGCTGAACTGTCCCGGGTCCAGCTGCGCTTCCTGCAAAACTCAGTCCAGAGCATTTCAGATTGCTTGTTTCTTGGGGGTCATATCCCCCAAGCCAGATCACCTGGTTCCCTGTCTCAGCCCCATCCCTTTCAGTGGAATGGGTGGCTCTGTCTCCAAGGCATTCCAGGTACCAGTTGAAATGACCACCTAGATTTGTGTGAGTTTCTGTGTGCCAACCCGCTGCACCAGCCGTGCTGAAAACTCACGGTGCTTCAGCCTGGGAATCTCCTGATCAGTGGGCAGTGAAAACTTGTTTGGAAATGCAGTGAGCACTTATCCTCTGCATTGTTCTTGCTGGAAACTGCACTCCAGAGCTGTCCCTGTTTGACCATCTTGGATCCTCTTAATGCAATTTTTTTAAAAAATTAGTGACTATGAGAATATACTAAAATGTAATTTTTTCCAGATTTTTAAGAATCCTCCACAGAATTCAAATTTTGTTATTAAAGGGCATATCATTTTATCCTTTTGGAACTATTTTCTGATGATTGCTTTGTATTTTTCCCCCCAAGCATGTAAGCTGAGATCAGACCGCTTTCACTTTATTTTTTTTGCCTGATGCTGCTTCAAAGGTACAGACCTCTTTAAACAGTACTAATGATAGTGAGAAAATATGAAATTTCTACAATTCTAAACTTTAAAAGCATAGTTATAACGACAGGAACAATAGACACTTGGACCTACATGAAGGGTGAGGGTGGGAAGAAGGAAAGGATCGGGAAAAATAATTGTTGGTTACTAGGCCTAGTACCTGTGTGACAAAATAATCTGTACAACGAACCCCTGTGACACAAGTTTATCTATATAGCAAACCTACACATGTATCCCTGAACCTAAAATAAAAATTTTTTTAATGTCAAAATTTTTTAAAACATGGTTATAGTCACTAAGCAGTATATTTAGATAGTATGTAATTCAGATGTGTAGTATCTGCATGTTCTCACTCATGTGGAAGCTGACAAAGTTGATCTCTTAGAAGTAGATAGTAGAACAGTGGTTTCTAGAGGCTAGGAAGGGTAGCAGGAAGGAGGGATCAAGAGATGTCAGTTAACAGATAGAAAATTGCAGCTGGATAGGAGGAATAAGTTCTGGTGTTCTTCAGCACCATAGAGTGACTATAGTTGACAATAATTTGTTGTATATTTTCAAATAGATACAAGGTAGGATTTTGAATGTCCTCAATGCAAAGAAATGATAAATGCTTGAGGTAATGCATATGCTAATTACCCAATTTGATCATTATACGTTGTATACAGGTGTCAGAATATCACATATACCCTATAAATATATCCAGTTATTTTGTGTTAATTAAAAATACTTTTTAAAAATTACTGTCAAAACAAGTATGCTATCGTTTTTACTTTAGAAGTTCTCTTACTAAAAAAAAAAAAGCTAGAGAAAAAACAACTATAATGTTCATCAGTTTTCTCTGTAGCCTAATAAGTTGAAACATATTGGTTTCATTTACATAGACTCTCCTTTTTAGATGTCTGCTCCAATGAGGATCTCCCTGAAGTTGAGCTGGTGAGTCTGCTAGAAGAACAACTACCACAGTATAGGCTAAAAGTAGACACTCTCTTTCTATATGAAAATCAAGACTGGACTCAGTCTCCACACCAGCAGCAACATGCATCTGATGCCCTCTCTCCGGTCCTTGCTGAAGAAACTTTCCGTTATATGAGTGAGTATTTTTTTATTCTTTTAGTTTGTGCTTTGAAGTGATGATTGTGGGTATCTTGGTATTGGTTTTTAAAGCACTGATGTTTCGTAGCCATTGTTCAGTGTATTCCTACTTTAATTTGAACCGATTTTATAGGAAGAGATAATTCTGTGTTATGTTAGAATGAAGAAAGTTTGTCATCCATATGACTTTCAGGGTCCAGTGTTGCAAGTATACTTACATGTTTTCATTACTTGATGTTTTCCTCAGACTGAGTAGAAAAGGGAACTTTTTAAAAAACGAAGTGATTTAAAATTTTAATATTCCTCTATAACTGTCAACATTTATTATCCCAGTAGTTTAGTATCCTAAGCTGTCAGCTTTTGACTTTTATCTTTATTAATATCTTTATTAAACACAGTTACAAGAATTATGTCAGCATAACTAAGCCTAGTTCTTAAACACGTAAGTAGTTTTAATAATGCCAGGAGAAAGAATATACACTATGTAGTAATCTTCATTATGTAAGGATTCTAAGTGAGAGACTGAGCCAGATTTGTCCTGAAAAAAGGTCTGTTTTATACCAAGCTATTAGAAATGACAAAGGAATTTTTAAACTTTGAAGTATGGAGACTTTTTGCATTTGATTTCATCCCAAAAATCTGCATTAAGGCTGAAATTACTTTTGTAAAACTTTGGTAAAATATATTGTATGCACAATAGCTGTTAGAATATATAATAAAAGTTTGAGTTCAATATTGATATGTTTGTGAAATTCTTCTAATCAGAATTAAGTATGTGATTGGATCAGATCCTAGACATTTTCCCAGTAAGTGCTTCAGTGTTTTAATGCCAGATTGTTGTTGAAGAATGGCTGTTGTGCAATACTCGTTTTCATAGTAATCATTAACTTGCTTTTAGCACTAGTTTCCTACAGTTTATTTCTAGTAGTTTCTTAGAACTTAACTGCTCAAAAAAAGTATAAACATTACTTCAGCTGAAACTGAAGTATCAAGAGGCCCAAATACAATTGTATTTCTGTCCTTAATATTTCTTTTAAATAGCTAAATTAAGGCTCCAAAGGTTTACTTGATGTTTTAGTTTGAGAATTTGCTTGCTTGAGATTTTTCTGGAAAATCATTTTTAGAAGGAACAGTATTTCCTATTTCTAGTTCCCATCGTTCCTTGAATGTTTAAATTTCTGAGAACTTTCAAACTGAAAGTTCATCTGGATAAATTTAGTTTGTCATTATTTTGATAAAGTACCAACGAAAGTGCCCTTTAGTTATTCGGTCCTTGTCCTCTCAGCTACTGAGGGGCAAAACTATAGCTAGGAAGTGGTCTTAGATCATGATTTAATGGAGTTAGCTTTTAGGATGAATTATAAGTAAAAAGCCTAGAAAATAAAAGGTAAATTCTAAAATACTTTTCAAGACTTTTTACAAAACAACAGTGTCCAAGGGAGCAATTTAAAACTTGAGATTAGTAAGATGATACTGATCCATACTTCAGGGTTTTGGAAAACTATCTTGTTTCTTTAGTGTAATGGTCCTATTTTCACTTCAACAGTTTGAAAATTCAACTATATATGATATTCCTAAGATCATGAAACATGTAAGTTAGGAATATACTGATAATCTACCTCTGCACTGTACTTTAATTTCACTGTTCTTTTAAAGGTGTTAAATCCTTGGGTTAATAGTTAAATCATATATAAACTTCATGAATTTGCATCTTATGAATATAAAAGCTAAATGATTTATTTAGCAAATTGACCAAGGTTTAAAAACGAAGATAAAAAATATTCCCTCCCCCTTCCCACAGTTTTCTATCCCCCTGAGATTTCAAGATTTATGGTTTTGAATAATTACTATGTACCCTGGCAGACCATCCTAGAGTTCGGCTCCCTGGGTTACTTTGGGCTTATCTCTACCTGTCTCACATGCTAGTGGGTACTTGTGCTTATTAAAATGAATTTTAACACCTAGTAAAAAGAGGCAGCACAGGCAAAGGCACTTTCTCTGTTACATAACACAATGAAATTGAAAGAGCTGTGAGAAGATAGTGATTTGGAAGGAAATGTAGCCAGCATTTGAGCTTTGGAGCCTATCTCACAAGAAATGGGGGAAAGTGGGTAGTTCTCTGAAGTCACCCAATCCAGAAAGAGATTGTTTACGTTTAAGATAGAACACTGGGAGAGCAATGAGTAGGTAAAAATCAATTAATCAATCCCAGTCCCTGCCACACACATATAAAGTTTAAGATGGTCAAAAGTGTTTTACACGCAGAACAGGCCACCCCACAATTTTCTTGATTTTATTAAAACTGAGTTCCAGCGTGAGCTGTTGGGGAGCCATGCAATCAGAACATGTTATAGACTATATCATTTGTTTATTTAAAGGCTAACGTTAGAAACCTGATGTTTCTTTCAAGGGGTTTTATTTTGTAATAGAGGATTACCTTTACCACTTTCTAAGGCATAAGAGGGGGAAAACGATTGATTATGTAAGTTTTATTTTAGGAAGTAGTTCTCAAAATGTGGACCCCTGCATTCAGTGTCACCTGAGAAATTGTTCTAAATTCACATTCTTGGGCCCCTCTACTCCACTCCACCTACAAAATTAGAAACTGAGGGTGAAATAGTCAAAGCTGTCTGTCTCAAGTTTGAGAACCACTGATACAAAGCATTGCCAACCAAAGTAAATGGCCATCTCACAGTGACATTCATTGGAGAATTAAGGAATTGGGGAGAGTATATAATTTTGCAGATAAATATGGTCATGGTAATTATTACTTTTGATTGGTAGATATACTTTTACTCAAGCTCTGCCCTCAAAAATTATTAACCTGTACTGGCAGAAAAGGACATATGACTGATGAAGTTCAGGGAGCATTAACCATAAGTCCAGTTGTAGAGGTTAGCAGATTTATTTTTCCCCTAGCTAAGCTCTCTCCATCAATTCCACAAGAGAATTAAGCTATATACCCTAAGACACTTAGTTTTTATACAATGGATTTCCTTTTCACCCATGCATCATGTACTAGCTTTGCACAATCCTTGGGAGAATTGAAAAAATTGTCATTCAAATTGTCTGTAGGGCCTGATTCTCCCCTGGAACTCTGTTGAGAAAGACTGTCCTAGATGGTGTGTACCATCAGTTTCTCTCGGTCATTTTGAAGGCAAAAAATATTGCTGTATCATAGCAGCAAGGGCTGTGGTCACTTCTTTAGGGTTAAAACTTCAAGACCTGCCTGTTGTTGTCAGGAGCTCCTACAGCTTTTACTATGCCATGTGGGCACTGTTTGTGTTTTATTTGTATTTTATTGTTGTTGTTGCTTTTGTTTCGTTTTGGTGTGAGAAAGTTGGAGAGCGCTGAAAGAATTCTTTTTGAAATTCAGTAATTGTGATAACAACTTTATATCTTGAAAAGGGATCTATGAGAGAACTGTTAAGCACCATCTCAGGAGAGCGCTGAAAGAATTCTTTTTGAAATTCAGTAATTGTGATAACAACTTTATATCTTGAAAAGGGATCTATGAGAGAACTGTTAAGCACCATCTCATGTAAATGACAAATATTAGAATGGATTATCATTGGTGTTTCCCATCCTGAAAATAATATGAGATTGAGCTGGTTAATATGAAATTATGCAGGGATAGAATGTAAGGATTAGTGAAGTGCTTATGTGTGTTAAACTCCCTTCCCATATTTTCAGGAACATTAGTTTCTCCAAACATTACACCAAAAATGTTGAACATTAATTAACAACCTCTGGAAACCAAGTCACAAAATTGTTCTGTCAAAATGTTTGTCATCTCCCTGATGTGTAAATTTTTTTTTAGAGAGGAAGGTTCAGGTCTAGAAATAAGCAAGGATCATTGCTAATTTCTGTATCATTTAACATTTTCAACCACTAAAAACTGAAGTGAAAATAGTTTTTGATAGGATTGATTTTAACAGAGAGCCTACTTAGCTGTCTCTACATTCTTTATTACAGAATTATGGTGAAGAATTAGTCTGTGGTTTTTGAAGCATGTAATTACAGTGTCTAAATGCCAAGACATCAAACACTTAAGAGTTTTGCCCTGAATATTTTTGGACTCATTTTAAGCAGCATGTCTTTATCAGGAGTATTATGTTAAGGAAGAAAAGACAGACACTGATTCCACTGTAGAGAGTAAAATGCATTGTGTTCTTTTCTGTTTTGTGCCCGCCCAACATCTTTCTGTGCAATTGAAGAGGCCCAGCCTTTGGGGATTGGTAGTATATAGGCTGCGCATAAAACACACGAATTTGAAAATTCTGATTGCACTATTTAACTTATTTGCCATAACAAATACTTAAGCATGTTAAAGTTCATTTTTGCTTTTTGAAACTTTAACAAGGGTTACTGGGTTTTTGTGGGGATTTTTTTTTTCTGTTTATAAAGATAACATTTGTTCTTTATTGAAAATAAAAAAATACTAAACCATAATCCCTACTGAGAGATAACCACTATTAACATTTTAATGTATATCCTTCCATGCTCTCTTGAAGATAGATATTTGTAGATATGCACACACTTTTAAAAGCAAAATTGGTCCTTTTCGAGGTGACTCTTTGGATATTCAGGGGTCAGGGAGCTACCCAAAAACCTAAAATGCAATAAAAAAAAAAAAAGAAAGAAAATAGCTGACTGCTGAAGAAGCTAAAGGCAAAGCCAAGCTTTCCAAAGTCCCTCTTGTTTCCCTCTTCTAAAATCAATAGTCAAATATATTTATAAGTCAAGAAGTGTGAGACGCAAAAAGCGGATATGCAAACCCATGCATTTAAACTCCACTTTCTTCTATTAAAAACTTAAAGCAGCTTATACTTTAGAGAAATAAAATAAAAATAAGACCAAGCCACCTAAAAAAAAAAATAAAAGCAAAATTGGGATCTGTGCTGTTTTATTATATAACATGCATTAACAGCTGTATGTGCTGGTATTTCATTAGATAAGGGCCTTTTTATGTTCTTAGTGGGTCTGAGAGAGCAGCACGGTGGAAAAAACTCATTACAGGACTCTTACATCATCTGAGTTTTTTCTAATGACCTTGTGAGATGAGCGTTATTATCATCTCTATACCAAAATCCCAGCTTTGCCACTAATAGCTTGCTTTGTGGTCTTGAACATGCCACATAATTTCTCTCAGAGAAGATTCCTCATACAAGAAAATGGGTCATTAAACTAGATAACTTCTTAAGGTTCAGCTTTAAATTTTATGCTGTGACAGATGGTAAGCATTTATAGGAAAAATATTTTCATTTCCTCTCACTAAAACATATTTTATTCTAAACATTTCTTGACTGTGTTATTGTGTCCTTCATTGTTTTCTTCTTTCATTGTGTGTGACTTGTGGTTCACAGTTGTTTTTTAGATCATTAACTTACTAGTCTTACTCCAAGTTAAATCTGCCACTTCATCTTTAACTCTGGTCAATCATGTCATGTGTTTTTTAAACTACTTGTATAAAAATTGGTTTTAACTAAGCCTATAGGATGCCTGATTTTTGGTTTGGGTGTTAACCCCCGGTTGGTGGTTTTAATTCCTGACTCCACGTCATTTTCAATACCTGGGATAGGGCTTCTTGAAATTAATTGAATCAGAATCTGGAGTTTAGAGCCATTGCTCTAGATTACTTTTGGGTTTGCAACCATTGTCTGATTTTCTGTGATTAGTTTAGAGCATGGATATATTGATTTGGTATTTTTCCCCTAATTTTGTTGTTAAGACCAGAAGTAGAAGAGACCATTCACTGTAAGTATTTGCTTTAACTATTTAATCCTTTGTTCCTGCTATGCTACCAAATTAAATTGTGTCTATTCCTTAGGTCCAAAAGTCTGTTTCTCTTATCGCTGTGGTTAAATTATTGAGTTAGTTTTTCTGTTTGTAAATATAAATTCTTTTGGGGTACAAATATTTATTTCTAGGTTTTAAGAAAAGTTTTTATATTTTTAGTTTAAATCTTTTTCAGTTATCTCTTCATACTATCAAGCCAGCACTTTGTTTTAGTTTTAACTAGGAATAAGGCTGTTATTAATAATTAAGCTATAGGTAACGCACAGATTCATTTTAGTCAGTGGTGCTAGGGAGAAAATAAAAAGCTCAGAAAAAAGTAAAACATACCTAGTGACATCCCTACATACTCAGTCTTTTGGATACCCTAACGTGTTAAGATGGGACTAAGGAACTACAAATGACTGCCAACTCAGAGAATTTAAAGTCAGGATCATTTCATACCTACCAGTTCTGTTTGAGGAGTAGTAACTATAAACAGTTCTATGATACTTAGCATTTTACTGAATACTTTATTGCTCAGCAGATTATCATATTTGATCCTCTTAATAACCTCATAAGATATGTTATTGCCTCCATATTTATTATCTGAATCTCAGAAGGGTTAAGTGACTTGTTCCAGCTCACTAAAATTCATGAATTCAGCTTTTCTACTCCAAAGCCCCTGTCCTTTTCACACTTCAAAGCAAACTAGTTATAATAAAAGCAGTCTAAGTCAAACACAGATTTATGTGCCACAGTAACATACCATGTTCAAAGTCAAAGGAACCCTTTTTGTTATGCATTATTAACTTTAAGATACTGTTTGGTGTGACTGAAATCATTGGAGTCATATTTGCTCTTCTCTTTTGAGCTAAATTAGCCAGGTACATAGACAGTTCCTAAACTTGTGAAGTACAGAAATAGTGGGCTCGAATTATGCAACTAATAATGTAGCATACAATTTATTTGATAGCTGAGACCTAGATGGAGAAATGTACAGATAAAGGGTTTTTAATTAAGTGTAAAGGAATTACGGTTCATAACAGAACCAGAAAAATTTCTACAAGTCCTGTTCCTTGTTTACGTTAGCTCACATGGTAGATGATCATAGATGATTAAGATAATCACAGCAGAATTCCAGTTAAATTCCTTTATAACAGCATAAGCCCTCACTAATACCCTTAGTAACTTTAATTTAGATTAGACTATAAAGTAATCAGTAACTTAATCCATTCTCCTAGCCAACATTCTCATAAGTGAGTGGCCCAAACTTCCTGGGCGGAGGAGGAGGAGGAAGGAGATAGTTAAGATGTGACTGCCTTGTGATCATTTGATACTTTCTTAATTATTGTATGATATGTAGTTTGTAATGATTGGTCTATTTCTTGAGTGTCTAATACATGAAATATTGCTTTTTTTCACATACATTTTTATTCTCCTGAATGACTTTTTATATAAGCCTGGGGTTTTTGTTGTTGTTATCTCTCAATTCTTATTAATATTTAAATTTTTGCATTATTGCTAAAGCCTATAAATAGTTGTTTTTAACTATATTAGTTCTAGGCACAGACAGGGTGGAGCAGATGACCAAAACTTACAATGACATCGACATGGTTACACATCTCCTGGCAGAGGTAGGATTATCTTTTCTTTCTCCAGTACAAAAAGGTAAAACTTGAGGATCATTTGAAATCTATCACATTGTACATCAAATGGAAAATGATGATGTATGTGCTCTGGGTTATTTTGATTAAGGCTGTTACTGCTGAAACAACTGACATTTCAAAGTAGAATGATTCCTGAAGCTTGTTGTGAAGCTATAGAGGATTTATATTTAATTATTTATTTAATGGTGTTGGCTGGCCTCCCCTTCCTAGAAAAGCATTAATTTAAAAAAAAAAAAAAAAGAGAGAGAGAAACTGTTTTAAAATAACCCCTGCTGTTACATACCCTACAGCAGAGCTGCCCATTCGAAAAGCAACATCATTGCAAATCGGTACCTGCAGTTTGGAGCATCTCCCCTTTTTACTTTTAGTTTGGGCTCTTATTTGAGCTTACTTTGTCTCTGGCATTTTTAATATGTATAGCATATCTCCTCTAGTTGGTGATCAATAGAGGTCTCCCTTTGTACCATTTCAGTTGATCTTACGGAAGATAGTCTTTCTCTAATATATCCTCCTCCCCTCTCCCCCCAGCTCTCCAGAATGACTTCTATGTTTGCCACTTAGCGTATATTTAAAAGGAGGCTTAAAAATGTGGAGATAATCCTTCCATTTTCATATGCCTATGGAGAGAAAGGATAGAAGCTTAATTTTATTTATATAATGATTACTGTAAGCAGATCATATACAAGGCAGTAAGATGTATATTGACAGTTTTCTATCCTACAGAATACAGTCTTCACCACTACCACACAGATGGAATTCCTATGCCCTTGCTAACTATCACTATCTACCCAAAAATAGCGACTCTGGGTGGAAACCTATTGCTTGACTTTTCTACAGACTTCCCGGCATCATTGTCACTAGCTTCTTTAGACTTCTTTCTTTTCTGTACTTTACGCAGAATCCTGTGGCCTCAAAATTTCCAGTCTTTTATCTCCTATTTTATTTCATATCATCATTTTGAACCAATTGACTACAGAACTCTTGGCTGCACTTTCCTCTAAGCTGCTGAATGCACATAAGCTTTGCCCTAAATGGAACTCTTTTTTACGTGCCTACCTGATCCATATCTTAAATACCTAATTCTGTATTATTACCATGCTTGATATGAAAATACATTCAACAGATATTTGTTGGGCTTTTACTATACAGGCCCCATCCTCATTTTTAAAGACTGTGTTGATTTTCCAATTCCCCAAAATTGTAAGTTTAAAGTTTGGATTGCTAGACTCTTAATTTACTAGGATGATGATAAATCTCACTTGATATCAAGAAAAGAGATGTCCTCTTGCATTTAGAACAATGGTGGTCATCCACTTGACCAACATTTTAAAGCACTACCTGTGTGCCAGACCCTGTGCTTATTTGTGGTATCTGGGCATTAAAATGAATCTTGATGCTTTCTAGGACATTGCTTTTAATTTTACCAAAACTGACTGCAAAATTTAATCTTGTTTATACTCAAAAAAAAGGTGTATTTGATATTTTAACAGAGGGATCGTGATCTGGAACTCGCTGCTCGAATTGGACAAGCTCTGTTAAAGAGGAACCATGTCTTATCTGAGCAGAATGAATCCCTGGAGGAACAATTGGGACAAGCCTTTGATCAAGTAAGCCTCTGATCAAATATCTGCAGCACAAAATAATTGGGTTTTATGCAATGGATAAACTTATTTTCCTAGGTGTCCTTGAAGTGATGGCGATAGATAAATAACACCAGTACTTGTTGACTTTGTTGGTGATCATTAAGCTAATCAGTAGAGAAATGAAATGTTAATATTACAGAGGAGAACTCACATGACTATCTTGGTCAGCTTAAAGCCTATATTACGTATCTGTGATACCTGTGGCACCCTGCTTTGATATGAAAACTATCCATACTCTTTTGTGTAGACTTTGTATGTGATCTTATCTGAAATTTATTTTTTAAAAATATATAGTATGTTGGTATCTTTATTCAAAAATCAAACAAAGGAAGAAAGGAAAAGGAAACTTTGAAAATATGTTTATTCCATAGCAATAAGCATTTATAGTGAGAACTGATTTATTATTAACTTGAATGGTTACATTTCAAATTTTCTGTAATTTGTTACTTTTATCTGGTTTCATTTGTATTTTATGAATGCATTATGGATGATAATATTTGAGTCTTTAGGCTGAAACTATTTGTTCATAGAACTAAAATCAGTATTCCTAGGAAGACATGCACAGTGATATAGATCTGAAAATTACAAGGCCTTATGATAAGAATTTGAAGTAGGGATCTATTCTGATACTTTGAAGGTTCTTCAGTTTTGTTGTGTTTTCAACTATGAGTGTATCATTATCTTAGGTGAAATTTTCTCCTATATATTCTTATCATATATACAATATGAAAATTGGCTTTTCTTCTCACCTAGGATAGAAAAAAGCTGTACTACTGAATTAATGCTCTAAAATTGTAACTTAGGAGGTATCTGGGATTTGTTATTCTCTTTTTAGTACTTCTTGTGTTAGTAAAACCTAGCAGCTGATTTTATGATGAAAAATAATTGTCCCATGAATTAGAAACTATAGTGCATGTAAATAATGCAAAATGAAGAACATGAAAATCAAGCATTTTATATTGACAGGTTAATCAGCTGCAGCATGAGCTATCTAAGAAAGATGAGTTACTTCGAATTGTCTCCATTGCTTCTGAAGAAAGTGAAACTGATTCCAGCTGTTCTACACCTCTTCGGTTCAATGAGTCCTTTAACTTATCTCAAGGGTTGCTGCAGTTGGAAATGCTGCAAGAAAAGCTCAAGGAACTGGAAGAAGAAAATATGGCTCTTCGATCCAAGGTACATTCAACCTAATTCCCATTTTTCTTTACTTTAAAGGCTATAAAGTTCAGGTCCAGGTAGTATTGAGGTGAAATATGGCATAAGGATTTGCGATTGACATTCCACTTAGAGTCGTGGACAAGGAGCTGTATTTGCTTTGCCTTCCATTGTTCTTAGATCCCACTGAAAAGTGGACAGTAGCAGGTTGACAGTACAATAGAGAAAATCACAGGATAGAAAATTTATCTTGTGGCGTTTACACAAGTAACTAAGCAGTTACAACTGTGCTAAGAATTATGTCAGAAAATTACAAGGTTCTGTGAACATGTATAGTGTGGGCATCAAGGAAGTCCTACTTAAGCAAGGACCATTTTAGCCAAGGCCAGGGATTAGCCAGGTAGAGACATATGAACAGGTTGTTGGTTTTTTTCCTTTGTAAGTGATGAACTTTAGTCTTCAAATGAGAATTAAAGGTTTTGTAGTTATTTCTATAAAATCACTAAAGGTATTGTCACATACTGATTTTTATCTTGAAGGCTTGTCACATAAAGTCAGAAACTGTTACCTATGAAGAAAAGGAACAACAGCTTGTCAGTGACTGTGTTAAAGAACTTCGTGAGTATTCACATATTCTCTTTTGTACTTTTTGGACAATTCTTTGATAGGATATCTCTACCTTTGAAGTTAGATCACTGGTTTTAGTAGAAGCATCTCAAGAAACAATTTTAAATAGTTACTGAAAATCTTAAAATATCACATTGAGCCTACAGCCCTAAATAAGATACCATATGTATTTTTAAGAAATACATTTGTTTCAAATTGCAATTATCAAAAGCTGTCATATTGTTGATGAGGAAATAGTCCTAGAGAGGAAGATGACTTGCCAAAGTCAGAAGACTGATAAGTGGCAGAGCTACGGCTTAAATGATGGCATAAAACCTACAATCAATGAATATTAAGTGCCAGTTATGTTTTTTTTTTTTTATTGCATTTTAGGTTTTGGGGTACATGTGCAGAACATGCAAGATAGTTGCATAGGTACACACATGGCAGTGTGTTCTGCTGCCTTCCTCCCTTTCACCCACATTTGGCATTTCTCCCCAAGCTATCCCTCCCCAGCTCCCCACCCCGCTGTCCCTCCCCTATTCCCCCCAATAGACCCCAGTGTGTAGTACTCCCCTCCCTGTGTCCATGTGTTCTCATTTTTCATCACCCGCCTATGAGTGAGAACATGCAGTATTTCATTTTCTGTTCTTGTGTCAGTTTGCTGAGAATGATGTTCTCCAGATTCATCCATGTCCCTACAAACGACACGAACTCATCATTTTTGATTGCTGCATAATCTGGAGACAACAGATGCTGGAGAGAATGTGGAGAAATAGGAACACTTTTACACTGTTGGTGGGAGTGTAAATTAGTTCAACCATTGTGGAAGACAGTGTGGCGATTCCTCAAGGCCTTAGAAATAGAAATTTCATTTGACCCAGCAATCCCATTACTGGGTATATATCCAAAGGACTACAAATCGTTCTACTATAAGGACACATGCACACGAATGTTCATTGCAGCACTGTTTACAATAGCAAAGACCTGGAACCAACCCAAATGCCCATCGATGATAGACTGAACTGGGAAAATGTGGCACATATATACCATGGAATATTATGCAGTTATGTTTCTTTAAAGGAATATGTTTTAGGTTGAGATAATGTTAACTAGTTTTTTTAAAAACAAATCAGTTGGAAAAAGATTGGCTTCACTGAAGAAAGATATTTAATTTCTCCATAAATACAACAGTTGTCCCTTCCCTGCTGTTTCACTTCTCATGGTTTCTGTTTACTGTGGGCAACTGCAGTCTGAAAATATTAAGTAAGACATTCCAGAAATAAATAATTCATGAGTTTTAAATCATGAGCCATTCTGAATAGTGTGATGAAATGTTGTGCCATCCTACTCCATCCTTCCCTGGATGTGAATCATCAATTTGTCCAACATCTGCACTCAGTATATGCTACCTGCCTGTCAGTCACTTAGTAACCATCAGTTACTAGGTCAATTGTCACAGTATTGCAGTGTTTGTGTTCAGGTAACCCTTATGCTACTTACTAATGGCCCCAAAGCATAAAAGTAGTGGTACTGGTATATTGTTTTAATTGTTTTATTAGTAGTCATTGTTAATCTCTTACTGTGCCTAACTTATAAATTAAGCTTTATCATAGGTATATGTTTGTTGGATATATATAGTATAGAGTTCAGTACTGTCTGTAATAGTGCACATATCCACTGCAGGTCCTAGAATGTATCCCCCACAGATAACAGGAGACTACTATATATAGCCTCTTAAATTGACAGCAATGATATAATAATATCACATCAATTGGGCTGTGGGCTTCAATATGTGATACCTTAGAATAGCAGAATATTAGAGAACCAATAGGAGTGTAAATTGAATTTTCTCCTCTACCATGAATTCATTACCCACATTTTACACTTTAAAATACAGGAAATGACTTGCTTAAGAGCTCAGATCCAGGTCTCCTGCCTCTGTATCACCATTTTTTGAAATGTTAGAGGCTTTCTATCAATTTTGAAATAGTTTTATATGACACTGAGAAGCAGTTTTTCTGCTTGTGTTTACATATCACATTTTTCATATGAAATAAAGAATGAATAAATTCCCAGTGGAATTCTAGAGGCTCTATTTCATGTGCAGGTAAGACGGCCAGGCTATAAGAATTGCTCTGGAGGTTTTACCCAGTTGCCAGATATCCCAGAAAGTCTCTCTCCTACAGAAGCATTTCCATGGCTTTATCACATTCTGTTATAGATTGTGACTGTTCCATTCTGGAAATGTTCCTTTGTTAGATTTGTAAAGATTAATTTTCATTGGTCTTGGGATTTTATGTCTCTAAAGAGTTCTCAAAGAAATAAATGAGATTACCTCTTTGCACTTGCTTACCTTTCAGCCTGCTTTCCTTCATAAAGAAAAAGATTGAGCAAATATCATTTTCATAAAGAAAAAAAATTAAAGCAAAACCTTTAGCCTGCTTGCCTTTACAAGTCATCTCTCTTTTTAGCTTCATTGTCTCCTATTCAATTCCCAGCATTAGCCTATTTCAGAAGAACCTTTATTCTCTATTGGTTTCTCTGGGTTTATTTTTTTATATTAAAGAAAAATCTATTCATGGCAGTCCACTGATGTTATAAAACAATATTCAGCTCACAAGTCATAGTTTGTGAACTCCTGCTCTCTGTTTATATTAATTTTTTTATTTTTATTTTTTTTGCTTCCAAGGTGAAACAAATGCTCAGATGTCCAGAATGACTGAAGAATTGTCAGGGAAGAGTGATGAGTTGATTCGATACCAAGAAGAGATTTCTTCTCTTTTGTCTCAGATTGTAGATCTTCAGCATAAACTTAAAGAAGTAGGCTTATTTATTCATTCATCAGATATTTGTTAAGCACTGACATAGTATCTTGCACCATACTAAGTGCTAGATATAATAAGCAAAGTAAACATGGTCCCTGCCCTTTTAAAATGCCATAATCTGATTGCTGTTTTAATCTTCTTTATATCATATGTCATGAATAAGTACTTTCAAGTCACTATTTCTCTTTGTAAAACAGGGTTAGAGCTTCCTCAGATAATGCTGTAAGTTATTGACTCATGCTCATTGTCCTCTGAACACCCTAATAGATTTTATATTCTTCCCATTTTATTGCTCTTATTTAGCTTTTGAAAGGTTAGCTTTTTGTAGGCTTTAAGATGATACCCAGAGAGAAATTCTTCAAATATCTTTACAAGAACGAGAATAGCTATATTTTATTTGGAAAGGCTTCACATGTCTCTTTTTATATGTTGTTAGCATGTGATTGAGAAGGAGGAACTAAGACTTCACCTGCAAGCTTCCAAAGATGCCCAAAGACAACTGACAATGGAGGTAATGAAATATTTATCTTGTGTAATTCAGACGGGGAAAGAATAGTTTATTTCATCTTCATGAATAAGAATTATTAAAGGGGAATTACCAGATTTAAAAAGCAACAACAGAAGTTAAGATGAAATTATGAGATCTAAGAAGTAAAGCGTTTTGGCTGGGCGCTGTGGCTCATGCCTGTAATCACAACACTTTGGGTGGCCAGGGTGGGTGGATCACCTGAGGTCAGGAGGTCAAGACCAGCCTGGCCAACATGGTGAAACCTCATCTCTATTAAAACACAAAAATTAGCCAGGATTTGTGGCAAACACTCTAATTTCAGCTACCCAGGAGGCTGAGGCAGGAGAATCACTGGAACCTGGGAGGTATAGATTGCAGTGAGCCAAGATATGCCACTGCATTCCAGCCTGGCCAACAAAGCAAGACTTCATCTCAAAAACAAAGAATAAAGCATTTTAAAAGTCCTTTCTCTAAAACTGGTAACATGGCAACATCCTTCTTGATTAATAGAGAAAACCTCAACTTTATAAGATTTGTTAAGAGTATATGATTCTTTTACCAGTCGACCTTAACTAGCTCAACGCTTTTTGAAATAAGATAATTTCTGGTAGTAAATGTTTTTGCAGGTGTGTCAGGAGAAGTAGGAAAAATCTCTTACTTTCTATCTACATAAAATTGTATATGTTTGATATAACTTGGTGATTCTTTAGCATGCGTTAGTATCCCCTGGGGCCAGGCACACTAGCTCATGCCTGTAATCCCAGCACTTTGGGAGGCCAAGGTGGGAGGATGGCTTGAGCCCAGGAATTTGAGACCAGCCTGTAAAACATAAGGAGACCTCATCTCTCCAAAAAGTTTACTGACGCACACCTGTGGTCCCCACTACTTAAGAAGCTGAGGTAGAAGGATCACTTAAGCCCAGCAGATCGAGGCTGCAGTGAGCCATGATCACACCACTTCACCCAACCCTGGGCAATAGAGTGATACCTTGTAGGAGAGAGGGGGAAAGAATCACCTGGGAGAGCAAGTTTTAAATGGAGGTTTTCAGGCACAGTCCCAAGAGCTTCTACTTCAAGTTGTCTGGAGTGAGAGCCTAGAATCTATATTTTTAATAAGCATCTTCAACCCTGTTGATTCTGACAAGCTGAGACATATACTACACTTGAAGAAATTTTATAGTTCAAATATACTCTGAAAATTATGTACTCTTTTACCAGATTTGTATATTTAGTTGTAAAGAAGGTTCTGAAACAAGGTGGGGAAACTACTTGTTTAGGAGAATTGAGCACCCTGACATCCTGTATAATACTTTGTAGACTCTTGATCTTGTCACAGACTTCAGAGTAATGTTTTTTAAAAAAGATTAATATTATACTAAACCTAACTTGGCTATAGCTGGTGTACTTCCTCTGCTAGGGTATGAAGATTCATTAAATTGACAGTTCTGGTAGTCTCAGCTACATTTCAGACTTTTAGGAAGTCACATTTATGTACAATTTTGGCCAAGATACTTCTCCTTAATTCTGGTAGCTCAAAATATACTCTTTTTACTTAGTTTGTTTTAGAGTCCTTGTATTGAAATGATATTCATAGAGTTAGCTAGCCCTCTGGATAAAATTAATACTTATCACAAAAGGTTTCAGGAGTTTTTTCCCTAGTGTTGTTTTGGGAAGGCAATAAAATATACTATCATTCTTCCTTTTTTTAGCTGCACGAGTTACAGGACAGAAATATGGAGTGTCTAGGAATGTTACATGAATCCCAAGAAGAAATAAAGGAACTTCGTAGTAGATCTGGCCCTGCTGCTCATCTCTACTTCTCCCAATCGTATGGAGCTTTTACTGGGGTAAGCAACTAAGAAAGATGCTATATATTTAAAGAAATTTGTTTAAGATTAGTTGTCCTAAAAGTGATAGGATTTATGATGGTATAAAGCATCTTGAGAAGAGATAATATGGTTTGTCCTTGTTTCTGGACTCCAATTATAGATTTAGGCCCTAATTAGTATATTGAGATCTTCCTTAATACTCTTATTTATTCTAACAGGTGACTTTCCAGATATATTAAATCAGTAATATGTAAGATGAGCCCTAAGGAAATTAACTTGAGGACTGTGTATATTAGAACTAGTTAAACTTGGGTCATCCTACCCTACACCCACCACGTGCCATTTACTTAAATGGCGCTTTGAATGTCTAAAACCTCTTTCAATAAATCTTGAGTCTCCTGATATTTTTAACTTGTTAGAATGTAAGCTTCATGAGAACAGGATTCATCTTTGTTTAATTCATAAACTATTTTTTGGATTAAAAAAATTAATAAAAACTTCTGAGTTTATGTTAGAATTTGTAATGTTGGTTCGAAGAATTATTTTAACAATTTGATTTTTAAACACTTCTGTGCAAGCCTATGAACTTTTTTAAAAGACTAAAACTATAAATTGTAGTTGGTTTTCTTAAAATTAGGGAGGCATGATTTTGTTTTTTAAGTTTGGAATAATTTTAATCTTAGAATAAAATTCCAAGAATAGTATAAAGAACTCCTACATATCCCTCACATCGATTCTTCAGTTTTTTAATATATTACTGCTTTTGCCATATCATTCAATCTCTCTCTTTTTTTCCCCTGGGCTATTTTAACAGTAAGTTGCTGATATACCTTATTACCCCATAGTACTTAAGTGTGTATTTACTAAAAACAAGGACATTTGGACACCCTTAAGGACACTGTCTTACATAAACACACTACAACCATCAGCATCAGGAAGTTGATGTTGATACAGTATTATCATCTAATCTACAGAGCCCATTCAGATTTTACCAGTTGTCTCACTAATGTCCTTTAAAGGATACAGTGCATTTTGTTGTTTCCATCTGGAACAGTTCTTCTGTCTTTATTTCTCTTTCATGACCTTCGTAGGATGTCCGCAGTTTAGGCTTGTCTGATGCATCCTCATGATTAGACTCCAAGAATGCATTCTTGGCAGAAATGATGCCATATTCTCAGAGCATCCTATCAAGAGATGAGTAATGTATGTTTAGCCCATTACAAGTAGTATGGATTAACTCTGATCTCTTGGTTAAGGTAATCTCCTGGTTTTTTCCACTGTAAAGTCAATAATAATAAATAGTTAATTAAATTAACACTGCTAATTCACTGTATAGTGATGGAAATCAGCAGATACTACCTCAACCAAGTGATCAAAGTAAACATTTAATGAGAGATACTTTGAGACTAAGTATCCTGTTCCTCATCAAATTATTACCCACTAGTTTTAGCATCTATTGATAGTTTTATCTGACAGTTATTATAATAATGATTGCCAAATGGTGATTTTCAGATTCCATCATTTTTTCAACATTTATTAATTGACATTTTTCTTTTATAAATTAGTGCATTTCTGTTTCATTTATTTGTTCATTTAGGTATGTCAGGGACTCATAGATTCCTATTTTATTCAGTAGATTACAAGCCATAATTATTAATATCTATTTTTATATTTAGATTGTCCTAGATATGGCCAGTAGGATCCCCTTTAAGCTCATCTTGCACTTTTTGTACTTTTTGTCCCTGGAATCAGTCATTTCTCCAAAGAGCTCTGGTTACTTTTATTGAAGAATGGTATTTTGAATCCAAGATCTGGGTGCTAATTGTGCCCATTGATTGCCACTAGAGTACTGTGACTTCTAGACCCTCTCAGCAGATAAAACTAGGAAATATATGTATTTCAGACCTATATCTACACTATTTATATATATATATGTATATATATATATACATATATATACACACACACACACACACACACACACACAAACTCACATATATGCATATAGTGTATATATATAAATATATATATATATTAAAAATCATGAATTCACACCATTGCCTCCAATTCCAGTAATCCTCAGCCCAGCCCCACTGAGCATGTCACCCATATTAGTTGAGTCCTCATCCCTGACCAGGGGAAGAGGAAGCTTGCTTATTTTTTTAATGATTTTTTATATTATAAGAGCTACGCATATTTATTATAGAAAAGCTGAAAATTACTGAAAAGCAAAAATAATTTATTAAATACCATTAAATCCTACTCGCCACAGAATTTGCTATCAACACTGGGTTTAGTCCTCATCCCTGATCAGGGGCAGAGGAAACTTGCTTGTTTTTTAAAATGACTTTTTAATATTATAAAAGCTATACATGTTCATTATAGAAAAGCTAGAAATTACAAAAAGCAAAAAGAAGTTGTTAAATACCATTAAATTTTACCCTCCACAGAATCACTGTTAACACTGGGTTTATGGCCTTTTAGACCTTTTGTTTTTTGTGTGTCTGCATGTATATTTTCTATTTATAATATTAGCTTTTTTCACTCATTTCCTATTTGAAAAAATCATGAAAATTTAGTTGGTTCTAATTTAAAAGCTCTCCTTCCAGAATGTCTTTTTTCCCCTGAATGTTAGCCTTGACTATTTCCTTGTATTTTATTGTAACACCAAAAGTATAGGGTTGTAGAGACTCTATTAATTAATGTAAGGGCAACAGTCAGGTTAAAAATCTCAAACTCTTTTTCTTAGGAATCTTTGGCAGCTGAGATTGAGGGGACTATGCGTAAAAAGCTGAGTTTGGATGAGGAATCTTCTCTCTTTAAACAAAAGTAAGTAGAGATTACATGTGTTGTTACCCAATCACTGGAATAGAAATTGAAGCCAGAATCCGAAGTGTTAAGTATTATGAGATTCAGTAGTAATTTGCCTACTATTCAGTGTTTTCCTCACAGTGTCCTCATTTGTGAGAGAGTTCTCTTGTTTGAAAGCTTATTTTCTGATGATCTCTCCTAAGCTGTAGAAGCTCCTCAGGGTGGCTTTATTTCTGATGGACTGCATATACGTGTCTCTTCTCTAGATGCTCTAGTGGCTGGCAGTGATAATAATGAACACTTCCTTTTTGACAGAGCCCAACAGAAACGGGTATTTGATACCGTCAGGATTGCCAATGACACACGAGGCCGCTCTGTCTCGTTCCCAGCTCTGTTACCCATTCCAGGCTCCAACCATTCAAGTGTCATCATGACAGCAAAACCTTTTGAGTCTGGTTTACAGCAAACAGGGGACAAATCGCTCCTGAACCAGGGAAGCAGCTCAGAGGAGGTTGCAGGGTAAGAAACAGATGATGACAGTGATTGTACATTTCTTTTCCCATTGACTCACCAGATTGACATACACAAATTCCAGCATTTCTCCGTACTGTCCCAAGAAGGTTCTGGAACTGTCAGTTTTTATTCACTTATGATGCCCTGTATCATTATTCGTGACATAGATCATGCCAAAGTCAAATTTGTTTGAATCTGTTTGGTCACTAGCATGAATACATCAGATGACACATTCTCATAATCCATGCTCATAATCTCAACCACTTTGCTGATTTTTAGGATAAATGTAAGTTTGAATACATCTTGAGGACCATCAAAGTGCTGTCAATTTTGTTTATTTAAACTTGGATTTGTTTTCATTCTTTTTATTAATTTAATACATTGAATTCTATATAACTAGAAGGTAAACAACTTTACTAAAAAGTGAGCTGAAAGCCTTTGAAAGATAGATATTGGGTCCCAGAAGGAAATGTTTCCTTATGTAGAAATTCATCACACTAGACTTCAGTTGCATTTCAATTGCCTGGTCTGTCCTGGGCAGTGTTCTGCATCTGCAGTAGCTTTGTGTCCTGCTGCCTCACTGTTACACAATTATCTTAGGAGAAGATCTGAAACACATCTATGTGAATTTATACACAAGTAGCCCAGAGTACCACAACTCGGCTTGCTACTCTTCCATTTGATATCAATTACAAGATAGCTTCCAATTTCAAAAGTGTTGAAAAAATGGGCATCAGAGAACTATAAAATGCAGTATTATATACAAATTTTGGTTTTTTCTTTTCAGTGTTCTTCAGTATTGATGGGTGATTCTGTGGCCCAAAGCAAATTTTTTTCATATTTTAATATTTTTTAAATTGTTATGTTTTGTAACTCATAGTATGCCTTGGTTTAATGGGTAGCACTTTTTTCCTTCTTCATTATACATAAAAGAATGGTAGCTCTTGCAATCCATGATACAGATTCAGCAAAATATAATATAATATTTATTTTTGCGACCACCTAATACAAATTTATAGATGGTTGAATGTGTAGTTTTATAAATTAAATGAAATAGAAAATTCAGAAAAAACAGAATATCACTGAAGTATTATCTTGCCTCTCAAGTCATCTGAAATGATCTGTAAAAATGATATTATTAGTGATTTTGGTTTGTTGTTATTATTTCTATATTCCACGTATCTAGGAAAATACCATGTTTTTAAGATCAGTCTCTTGAATACTTACCATTGTAGAAAGGAGAGATCTGGGTCATTCTGATGATCCTCAAGATCTAATCAGTGAATGTGATTTTCCTATAGTAACTCCCAGAAGATGGGCCAACCAGGACCCTCTGGAGATAGTGATTTGGCTACAGCACTGCATCGCCTTAGCTTGCGTCGACAGAACTATTTAAGTGAGAAGCAGTTCTTTGCTGAAGAATGGCAACGGAAGATCCAGGTTCTGGCTGACCAGAAGGAAGGAGTTAGTGGTTCTATGACCCCAACAGAGAGCTTTGCCTCTCTCTGCACCAACCAGTCAGAGATCACAGACCTCAGCAGTGCCAGTTGCCTTCGGGGTTTTCTGCCAGAAAAATTACAAATTGTCAAGCCCCTTGAAGGTAATAAATCAGCAAGGGCCCTTTCTAAGCCACATGGCTTATTGGAAGTTCCTTTCCCTGGAATTTAGATTTGTGTTTTAATTATAGGAACATTATGTGCAGATGATCTTTTTTATACCTTAATCTTGCTGTTTGGGTGACAAGGCATTGTTGTACTTTCTGGAAAACTAATGAATGAAGACAGTTGTGTTCTCTGAATTATCAGCCATCAGTTCTCTTTTGCTGATGTTTTTTAATATAAACATGAGTGGGGAGGAGGAGTAATCTTTTTCTGTCCTTTGCTAAGGAATATCATCGATAGCAGTTTCCATGGTTAGATAAATAAGATAAATGATAATGATCGATCCACAGGTAATAATTCAGCTCCACCTTCCTTTTCTTTTTTTTTTTTTTTGAGACAGAGTTTCACTCTTGTTACCCAGGCTGGAGTGCAATGGCGCGACCTCGGCTCACAGCGACCTCCACCTCCTGGGTTCAGGCAATTCTCCTGCCTCAGCCTCGTGAGTAGCTGGGATTACAGGCACGCACCACTGTGCCCAGCTAATTTTTTTTTTTTTTTTTGCGTTTTTAGTAGAGACGGGGTTTCACCATGTTGACCAGGATGATCTCAATCTCTTGACCTCGTGATCCACCCGCCTCGGCCTCCCAAAGTGCTGGGATTACAGGCGTGAGCCACCGTGCCTGGCCCCTTCCTTTTCAAAAGAGTTTTTTACCCAAAAGTATAATTGACATAGAGGGGTGTGTGTGTGTATGTGTGTGTGTGTGTGTTTCCTTTTTTCAGTTCAGTTTCTGTTCTCTCCTAAGAAAGGACTTGAATTCAAAATAAATTCCTTCATTTTATGGAATAATGACAATCATTGATGATTCTCCGATATTATCCTAAAAGAGTTCTGCATTAAATTTTGAGTATGTAACCTATAAAGACCCCTCAGACTCAAAGATTTTATGACTTTGTTTTATTCATTAATAATCAGTGCAGGTAATTGTAGGAGTTGCCATTTTTAGGATGAAAGGACTGCGGTGACATAATTGGACATTGCATCTGGTGCAATTACTTGGGATGATCATTTACCAGGGTTCTATAGCCTTAAACCAGAGGATGTATCCTCTTTTTCATTATCGTCATTTTCCTACTCTTCCTGGGAGCCTGGCTTTTGACTTTCAACTTCATAGGCGTAGTTCCAGGCCAACGGAGTATTGACGTTTTTGTCACCTGGGAAAATACAGCCCAGCTCTTAGGCATGTTTCTTCCATCAGTAGCTAAGCTCCATTCCTATTAAGGGTGTCTTTTTGGTTGTTGGGTTGTTTTTGTTTTTTACTCCTTTAGATGTTCTTCTCAAAGTTATCTATTAAAATAGATTATTACTCATACTTTCAACATACTGTCATCTTCCACTGAAAGCTTTAATTTGCAGCTTTTCCAAATTATTAGCACCAAATAAATAGTTTTATTGCTGTCATTATTGTCATTACACTATATCTGTAGCTTCTGTAAGATTTGAGGAAAATGTAAAACATGCCTTTTATCCCTCCTTTCTCTTGCATGTTCAGGATCACAAACTCTGTATCACTGGCAGCAGCTTGCTCAACCAAATTTGGGAACCATCCTTGATCCACGACCAGGTGTCATTACAAAAGGCTTTACCCAGCTGCCCAGGGATGCCATTTATCACATCTCAGATTTAGAAGAGGATGAAGAGGAGGGCATTACTTTTCAGGTTCAGCAACCTCTTCAAGTGGAAGAGAAACTTTCAACATCCAAGCCAGTAACAGGGATCTTCCTACCACCCATTACTTCAGCTGGTGGACCAGTTACAGGTGAGAAGAGTGTCTGGTTGAATATGGTATAGTAACCAGAAATACTTTGCATTCTGACTTACTAGATGGTCAGCTGGCTGCCTCTGCTCACTGGAGGGTACTCAATCTTGGATGTCAGATAATGAAAATCTATAGCATTTGTGGCATTCCTAATTATCTCCACTTTATCTTAGTCAGCCTGCATTAGTAGATTGGGTAGAGAGCTAGATGAATTCAAGTCAGTGGTTCACAAACCTTTTGGGCTCAGGACCTCTTTACACTCTTAAAAAATCATTGAGGGCTGGGCACAGTAAATCACGCCTGCAATCTCAGCACTTTGGGAGGCTAAGGTGGGCAGATCACAAGGTCAGGAATTTGAGACCAGCTTGGCCAACATGATGAAACCCCATCTCTACTAAAAAGACAACAATTAGCCAGGCGTGGTGGCGGGTGCCTGTATTTCCAGCTACTCGGAGGCTGAGGCAAGAGAATCACTTGAACCCAGAAGGCGGAGGTTGCAGTGAGCTGAGACTGTGCCATTGCACTCCAGCCTGAGCAACAGAGCAACACTCCATCTCAAAAAAAAAAAAAAAAAAACATTGGGAATTCCAGAGAGCCTATCTGTGTAGGTTATATCTATTGACATTTAACATATAAATCAAAACTGAGAAATTATAAAAATATGTATTAACTCAATTGTGTTACACAAATATGTTTTATGAAAAATAGCTATTTTTTTACATAGTGAGAAAAACAGTTTTGGCATATGTGCAGGTCTCTGATTTTTGACTTAATACAAAATAGCTTCATTGTCATTAGCAGCTTCTACATTCAGTCTATTGCGATATGTTGTTTTGGTTGAACCATGTGAAGGAAATGCAGCCAGAGACAAACATGCAGTTGGAAAAGGAAAGAGTGTTCTAATAGTCTTTTCAGGTATTTGTAGATATTCTTTGATATTACATTAAAACTTGGTAAGTAGTAATTTCTTGAACATTTGTAGCAGTGTGAGATCTGAAATCATAACAATGAACTTTTCATTGCTTTGTTAACATTAAAATGCATTGATCAGGCCAGGTACAGTAGGTCACACGTGTAACCCCAGCACTTTGGGAGACTGAAGCAGGCAGATCACCTGAGGTCAGGAGTTGAAGACCAGCCTGGGCAACATGGTGAAACCCTGTCTCTACTAAAAAAATAAATAAATATAAATATAAATATAAAATGCATTGGTTATATCCTACATTTTAAAAGTATCTTTCGTTCATGCTTGATTTTTAACATCATGCATTGGTCATTTAGAAAATATTGATTGGTTCATGGAGTTATGCAGATTTTCCAAATGTTGATGAATTTTTTTATATACAAATATCAAAATTGTATTGATATCACCACCTATCTCATCACAAATGTCTTTAGAGATGTACATGCTTTCAGTGGTGGATACAAGTTTTCCCAAACTTTTTCTTGAAAGCTCACATTTTGTTAGCTGTTTTTCTTGAAAGGACAGACTTACTTCATTCATTTTTAACATGTCTGTCTTATACCCAAATCTGAATAACTATAGTTTATCTGTTAGTTCTTTCAAGTAAAAATGGTATTCCGTGACAAAATTTCAAATCAGTTGCACAAGTGTTTTCTTCTAGATACCTACTGTATCTCAGAGTGCAGCAGGAGTGCTTAATGCAACCTTCCCACTTCATCACACAAAATAGGAAAAAGATTCAAGGGCCAAGATTCAAGATTTAATAGATAATCTTTACTGCTACTTCAAGGACATTCTTAATATGGCTTTTTTTAAAGTACCAAGTGTGTAACAGTGAAGAAGACTGGTATAACTTGGTGATGTTGCCTTGATATGTGCTGAGGAGCCAGCAGTTTTGCCTTCCATTCCTTTTGTACCAGCTGTGCAAATGTCAATCCTGTCAAAAAAAAAAAAAAAGGCCTCTGAGTTAACATTACTGCGAAAGTAGCTTTGACCTGTGGACTCCCAGAGAGTCTGCGGACCACACTTTGAGAAATACCAGAGCGGATAAATTTGGCTGAATCATTTGGAAAACTAGATCTTGATTTTTTTTAATGTATTTTTTCAGTTTTCTTTTCTTATTTCTAAGCTTTGTTTATGCCTTTTGCTTTACAGTTTTAAAGTATTGGATTCACCTTTATACTAATTGATACTAGCACAATCTTTATGTATATTTATTTCATTTCCAGATTTGGGGATTTTTAGTACAAAATACTTGATAAATGCTGTATTATTAATAAATAATGATGAGCTTTTTACATTCTTAATCTAGTTTTTCAATCTTGTATTTGCTCCCTAAAAATCTACTTTAGTTGCAACTGCCAACCCAGGAAAGTGCCTGTCATGCACAAACTCAACGTTCACTTTCACCACCTGTAGAATATTACATCCCTCTGACATCACTCAGGTTACCCCCAGGTAAGAGTCCCAGGGAAACTGGGGCCTCGCTTCTTTCCTCCGGTATATTTTCATGAATTTCTTTCAAAAATTACCTCTGTTTTACTTTCCAGCATGTTAATTAATGTTCTGTGATCATGTGTCTTTAGAATGTTTTCACACTCTATTTTCTCATTTGATTATTATAACTCTTTGAAGTAGGCAGGGCAAGTGAGTATGTATTGTGTAAAGTAAACCCACGAATGGAAGGTTGAGGCGACTGGTCCTAGGCAAGACAACTAATAAATAACCCAGCTGGGGCTACACACCCAGAGGTAGCCAAACTGCAAGATTTACAGGACCAGTCCTCTGTGCAAGCTCATCTTCGCTTCTGACAACACTGCAAGTGCAGAGGACTCCCAAAACCACTTTCAGGTTCAGTAATTTACTAGAAGGTCTCACAGAACTTACAGCAAGTTGTTAGGCTTGTGGTTACTGTATTACAGAGAAAGAATACAGGTTAAAACATCCAAAGGTAGAAAGTCATAGGACAGAGTTGCCTATTACTTTATATTTACCAAGAATAACTACTGTGATTATTTTAAATGCTGGCTTGAGGCTTGCTTTTTATTCTTAAGCACTCTCTCCCACTTTTTTTTTTAAAGCTCTGGGTTCCCTTCATTATCCTGTGGAAGTAGTGGTAGCAGTTCATCCAACACGGCTGTAAATTCTCCTGCCTTGTCCTATAGACTCAGCATTGGTGAGTCCATCACCAACCGACGAGATTCCACTACAACCTTCAGTAGCACCAGGAGCTTGGCCAAACTTCTGCAAGAGCAAGGCATCTCTGCCAAAGTGTACCACAGCCCAGTTTCAGAGAACTCCCTCCTCCAGCCTCTCCCTAAAGCCCTGGCTGTCCCTTCCACTCCACCAAATTCACCATCTCAGTCACCTTGCCCTTCTCCTTTGCCCTTTGAGCCTCGTGTGCATCTCTCTGAAAATTTTTTGGCCTCTCGACCAGCTGAGACATTCCTCCAGGAGATGTATGGCTTGAGACCTTCCCGGAACCCTCCTGATGTTGGCCAGTTGAAGATGAACTTAGTGGACAGGCTGAAGAGACTAGGAATAGCCAGAGTGGTCAAGACTTCTGGTGCCCAAGAGAATGGAAGATACCAGGAGACAGAAATTGGTCTTCATAAACCAGATTCTGCTGTTTATTTAAATTCAGGTAGCAGTTTATTGGGTGGACTAAGGAGAAATCAAAGTCTTCCAGTCATAATGGGTAGCTTTGCTGCCCCAGTTTGCACATCCTCACCCAAAATGGGTGTCCTGAAGGAGGACTGAGGCTCAGCAGTTAACTGACCTCTTATACAAATGAGCACATGAGGATAGCTATGCACTGAAACATGTGGTCTGGTCTGACTTGAAAGAAAAGGAATGTTGTACAAGGGTTGTGAATGTGAAGAGGGTAATGGAGGAATTGAAGCAAAATTGGGATGAGCCCTAATGGATGAAGTCTGGCAAATTGGAAGTATAAATAAATGGGCCAGGAGTGTTCAGAGGCAGGAAAGAAAGGTTTAATATACTCCTTCAGTTGAGTTTTCTTGTCTTGAAAATAAAAAGTGAATAATAAATTCACTAATACTAAAACATACAGAGATACTGAACTTGCTGGCACATTTACTTCTGGTAAGCATAAAGCAGAGAGAACCCAGGTTGGAAGAATGAGAAGAGAAAAGGAGCAGTTATGTTGCTCATAGAAAGCTGCTCTGAAGGGTTGGTTGGATAAGCTCAGTGTGTTACCGAGACGATAGTGAGATGGCTTATATGTTTCCCCCGTTAATGTCTGCCTAAATTACGCATCTATCAAATGATATGCTCACAGCATTAGAAAATTAGGAATTTCATCTTTTTTATTGAATCACAGGTGGAGACACCTATTTTCCTTTCTGCTTTCAGGCCTTTGAGCCCCTAGGATCCCAAATACCATTCAATTAGTTTGTATTTATGATTAATAAAAGTTCATTTTTTTAAATTGATATTTTTATATAACCTCCAAAAAAAAAAAAAACCAGCTGGGTAGAGATGGGGAAGATTTGCTTTTAAGAAGGAAAATGTGAGGCTGGGCATGGTGGCTCACACCTGTAATCCCAGCACTTTGGGAGGCTGAGGTGAGTGGATCACAAGGTCAAAATTGAGACCATTCTGGCCAACACATTGAAACACCATCTCTACTAAAAATACAGAAATATTAGCCGGGCATGGTGGCACGCGCTTGTGGTCCCAGCTACTTGGGAGGCTGAGGTGGAAGAATTGCTTGAACCCAGGAGGCGGAGGTTGCAGTGAGCTGAGATTGCGCCACTTCCCTCCAGCCTGGTGACAGAACAAGACTCCATCTCAAAAAAAAAAAAAAAAGTGAGGAAATTGCAACCAAGAAAACTTGTTTATAGAATATTTCTTCTGAATAAGTACAGTAGCCAAGGAATACAAACATAATTGCATGTTTTTTAAAATTCCTTGGAGGCTGGAAGGGGTTAAGCCAGAAGTGCAATCAGTAGGAATTAGGGAATGTTGTATATTTATATATGTAAAAATTTTTTGTAAGAAAAGTTGGTTGCAACTAAACCAACTTTTTCCAAAGTGCGCTATGCATATTTTTAATGAAAGGTGACATGTATTTGCACAAAAATTCTCAGGCACATTAAATTATTATAAACTGAAGTAAAACCCAGGTGCTTGCTTTGAGATTGTGGTTTTTTTTCCTAGTGTAAAATAAAATAAAACAGAATCTGCCTTGTTCTTGATATTTATAGAATTAGAGAATCAACTTTTTAAGGGAGGAGTCAAAGCTGCTGCTTTTTCTCTAAGGTTCTTTTTTTTTTTAATGCAAACTGTATTAAATGGCAAAGCGAGGCTTTCGGGTTAGGTTTCAGCATTCAGCAGTTGTCATAGGCTAAGAAATGGAAAGAAATAGATCCGTTTCTTCTCAGTGTTGCTAAGCAAAGTCTGCTTCTCATCAAATTACATGGCTTTGTCTAGGCAGCTCACAGCTCGGAAAGAAATGCCTTTCTACAAAAGACATGATAGAGAAAAGATGAGAGAGGGAACTAATTATTTTGTTTATGAAAATGGGAAGTAAATTACTTGATCTTTTTGGTGCTTTATTTGCAAATGTTTTATTCCTTTGTCCTGACTTAAAGGCAGTTTTCTGAAGAATTTTTGACTTTTGCTCCTATGGTTTCCATAGGCATACCTATTAGCAGGCCAAGGAGGGAGGGTCCTTTCCCCTTTTGAGACGTCCCCCTGCCAGCCCCCCTGCTTAAAGCTTTGTGCTCAAAAGGCTAGAAAAGCCTGCATAGAGTGGTAAAAATGTGTTAGTTTCTCATACTTCTTAGAATCCCTTAATAAAATTTTTCTTAATAAATTCCACAAAAACAAATAGTTGGAGATGGTCTCTCCCTTTCGTCCCCTTCACTCAGTCATGCTGAGGTCAATAGAGCGTACACATTCAGAAAGGATTCCAGCAGGTTCATACGTAAATGTAGGTGTCCCTGAGTGGGGCAGGCATTAAATAGAAGAATCCCTACTGTTTACATTTCCCACATATTCCAGTTCACTTTTTAAAAGTGCTGTTTGAATTTCTATTTCATAAAGTGACTATAGGGTGCTCACTTTAGCCAATTCTTAAAGTTGTTTATTTGTTCTCTAAGAAAGTAATTAATGCTCCTGTTGCCTGGATAGTTACAGTTTCCAAGAAACGTCAGGAAGTAGGAAACTGTAGGGCCAGAGAGTGGTACAAAAATTGTCCCATTAAGTGTATTACATAAAACTATAAATTGAACTAGGTTTTGCTATGTTGTGTGTTGAGTATAATTTGTATACTTTTTTATAATTAATGACAAACTGGTCACTTTGGAAGCAGGGTGGTGGGGGCAGCAGCCAAATAAGCACATCTGATTAAAAAAAATATATAGACTTAGATTTTTTTTAAGTATATTGATGTTGATGTCCCACCAGAAACACCTTAATTGTATACTGATGTGTAATGCCTGTAGAAATGAATCTTGTCTTAAAACTGAGTTTTGCTGTTTTTGAAGTTTCCACCTGAAATCCTTTTTGGTGTATCCTGATAATCTCTATAATACTAGAATTGTCTGCAAAATATAGTAAGAAGAATTGGAGCCTAATAGCTGATTCCTCCCAATTTATCTGTTATATTTTGGTACTATTCACATTTTAGTTTTTTTCTATGATGAAAATTGTATATGTACTTTCATGCCAGTATAGAAAACCTCATTTTTTTCTCCTTCAAGAAGTGATTATACCTCTAGTATTTCTGAGTATCCTATTACCTAGTAGGAGAGATAGCTTCCTGAGCTCAGAATTAAAAGTCCTCCTAAATTGTGAAGATCCCAAATCTTATGTAAATAACCTTAGGCATGAGTCCTTAGGGAGAAGTTAATGACCATTGTTAAAGTAGTCTTTCAGAAAAAGTTGTGCTATATGTTCTTGATTTGACATAAATGAATAGACTTTGGCAAAGGAGGAAGTAAGTTACAAGGCAGCTTACAAGAGCCTGTTCTCTTTAAAAGGTAAAATTTTACACAGTACTCGAAGCTTGTTATCTTTTCTGACCATTTTAGTACAGAATTAGTACTTGGTGGTTACTAACATCAACTTGCGACATGTATAACTAGGGCTCTTCGTGTTTAGTGGGCCGGTTCTCTGATGTCAGATGCCTGCAGACCTGTACTCCACATGCAACCCAACAGCAGTGCAGTGTGATGACTGAGTGGTGGAATGGTAGAGCACATCCCGTCAGAGTGGGCACAGGTGCCCTCTGTGGCAGCCAGGGGAATGCTGTTGTTTGATACCTGGGATTTGACTTTGTCAAACAGCTCTTTGTGCACCTATCTTTGTTTTGTCAAATGTAAATCAGTTAATAAACATAAATAGCTTAAATTTTCATTTGTCTCCCTGTATTTTTGTCACAGCTGTTTGCACAGGTAATCCTGCACTAAGTCTTTCTTTTCTATTACGTTTTTGGTTAGGAAACAACCTCTACTTTTCAAACCAGCACACACACAAGAAACCACTAATAGTCATAAGCAGTAAACAGATCTTAATGTATTTTCCTAGATTTTTTTAATAGAATAGACAGTATCTATGTATACCGTAATACTTCCTTAGCAAAAGTAACAGCAACATAAGAGTAAAATCTAAAGTCATAGATAATGCAGATACTAAATTTGAGAAGATTCGGGAAGTGTGAAGCAGTTACGTCCCTACAGTCCGCAGTTTTCTGTTGACTCTCTTAGCTATTTAAAATTTGTTTCCAAGAAACGAAATTTCAACTTCGCTGGACCCTAACAGAAAAGGTCTTTTGATTATCTTCTTCACAATTTAATTTCTGTATTTTTAAAATAATTTCCATTTTTATTTTAGATTCAGGGGTACATGTGCAGGTTTGTTACCTGGATATGTTCTGTGATACTGAGGCTTAGAGTATGTTTGATCCTGTCATCCAGGTACAGAGTATAGTATTCAATAAGTAGTTTTACAACCCTTTCCCTTCTCCATCCCTGTTGTAAGAGCCCCCAGTTTCTATTGTTCCCATCTTTATGTCCTTGAGTAGCCAATGTTTACCTCCCACTTGTAAGTAAGAACATGCAGTATTTGGTTTTCTGGTTTTTTGTTAATTTGCTTAGGATAATGGCCTCCAGCTATGTCCATGTTGTTTTGAAGGACATGATTTCAGGGTTTTTTATGGCTGCATATTATTACATCATGTATATGTACCATATTTTCTTTATCCTGTCCCCCAATGATGGACACTAAGATTGATTCCATGTCTTTGCTATTGTGAATAATGCTGTGATGAACATTAACGTACCTATCTTTTTGTAGAATGATTTTTCTTTTGAATATATACCCAATAATGGAATTACTGGATTGAATGGTAGTTGTGTTTTAATTTCTTTGAGAAATCTCCAAAGTGGCTCAGCTAATTTACATTCCCACTAACAGTGTATGAGCATTCCCTTTCCTCCACAGCCTCACTAGTATCTGTTTTTTGTTTGTTTGTTCATTTTGAGACAGAGTCTTGCTCTGTCACCCAGGCTTGAGTGCAGTCGTGCAATCATGGCACACTGCAACCTCAACCTCCTGGGCTCAATCGATCCTCCCACCTCAACTTCCCAAGTAGCTGGAACTACAGGCATATGCCACTCGTGCCCAGTTAATTTTTGTATGTTTTACAGAGATGGGGACTCGCCATGCTGCCCAGGCTGGCCTCAAATTCCTGAACTCAAGCGATTCTCCTACTTTGGACTCTAAAAGTGCTGGAATTACAAATGTGAGCCACTGCTCCTGGCACATATCTTATTTTTTGACTTTTTAGTGATAGATATTCTGACTGGTGTGAGATGTTATAGTCACAGTAGTTTTGATTTGCATTTCTCTGATGATTAGTGATGTTGAGCATTTTTTCATGTTGTTCACTTGTGTGTCTTCTTTTGAGAAGTGTTTGTTCATGTGTTTTGACCATTTTTAAACACGTTTATTTGGTTTTTGCTCATTCAGTTTAAGTTCCTTAGAGAACCTGGATATTAGACCTTTGTCAGATGCAGAGTTGGCGAATATTTTTCTCACATTATATAGGTTATCTGTTTACTATTGAGGGCTTAGTCATCAATTCTTTCCCAAGGCCCATGTCCAAAATAGTGTTTCCTAGGTTTCTTCTAGGATTCTTATAGTTGGAGGTCTTATATTTAAATAATTAATCCATCTTTATATATATGGTGAAAGGTAAGGGTCCAGTTTCATTCTTCTGCATATGGCTGACCAGCTATCCCATCACCATTTGTTGGATAGGGATTTCCCCACTGCTTATTTTTGTTGACTTTGTCAAATATCAGATGGCTGTAGGTGTGTGGCTTTATTTCTGGATTTGGTATTCTGTTTCATTGATCTATGTTTTTGTACCATCTATGCTGTTTTGGTTACTGAAGCTTTGTAGTATAGTTTGAAGTCAGGTAATGAGATGCCTCCAGCTTTTCTCTTTTTGCTTAGGATTGCTTTGGCTATTTAGGCTCCTTTTTGGTTGCATAGGAATTTTAGAATACTTTTTTCTAGTTCTGTGAAAAATGACATTGGTAGTTTGATAGGAATAGTGTTCATTCTACATTGTTTTTGGTAGTATGGCTATTGTAATGATGTTTAGTATTCCTATCCATTATCATAGAATATTTTTCCATTTGTGTCATCTGTTCAGCAGTGTTTTACAGTTCTTCTTGTAGCTATCTTTTACATCCCTAGTTAGATGTATTCCTAGGTATTGTGTGTATGTGTGTGTGGCTGTTGTAAAGGGAATTGTGTTCTTGATTCGGCTCTCAGCTTGAATGTTATTCCTGTATAGAAATGCTACTGATTTTGGTATCCTTAAACTTAGTGAAGTCATTTACCAGTTCCAGGAGCCTTTTGGCAGTCTTTAAGATTTTTTAGGTATAGAATCATATCATCAGCAAAGAGAAATAGTTTCTTTTCCTATTTGGGTGCCTTTTGTTTCTTTCTCTTGCCTGATTGCTCTGGCAAAATCTTCCAGTACCTTCCAGTAGTTGAATAGGAGTGGTAAAAATGGGCATCTTTGTCTTGTTCTTGTTCTCAGTAGAAATGCTTCCTCTGTTTGCCTGTTCAATATAATGTTGGCTGTGGATTTATCATAAATGGCTCTCATTATTTTGAGGTACTTTCCTGTGATGCCTAGTATCTTGAGACATTTTATCACGAAGGGATGTTGGATTTTATCGAAAGCTTTTTCTGGATCTATTGAGATGATCATAGAATTTTTTTTTTTTTGAGACAGAGTTTCACTCTATCACCCAGGCCGGAATGCAGTGGTGCAACCTCAGTCCAATGCAACCTCCACCTCTAGGGTTCAAGTGATTTTCCTGCCTCAGCCTCCTGAGCTGGGATTACAAGTGTGTGCCACCACACCCAGCTAATTTTTGTATTTTTAGTAGAGACAGGCTTTCACCATATTGCCCAAGCTGGTTTCAAACTTCTGACCTCAGGTGATCCATCTGCCTCAGCTTCCCAAAGTGCTGGGGTTACAGGCGCGAGCCACTGCGCCTGGCCTGATTTTTTTTTTAATTTAATTCTGTTTATATGATGAATCACATTTGTTGATTTGCGTATGTTTAACCAACCTTGAAGCCTACTTGATTATGGTGAATTAGCTTTTTGATGTGCTGTTGGATTCAGTTTATTAGTATTTTGTTCAGAATTTTCATGTCTGTTCATAGGGATTCTAGCCTGTGGTTTTCATTTTTCATTGTGTCTTTGCCCAGTTTTGGGATTAGAGTGGTACCAAAACTGGCTTCATACAGTAAGTTAGGGGGAAGTCCTTCCTTCTCAGTTTTTTGGAATAGTTTCAGTAGAATTGGTACCAGCTCTTCTTTGCACATCTGGTATAATTTGGCTGTGAATTCTGATCTGGGCCTTTTTTTTTGGTTGTTAGGGTTTTTATTAATGATTCAATTTAGAACTTAATGTTAGTCTCTTCAGGCTTTTGATTTCTTCTTGATTTAATCTTGGGAAGTGGTATGTTTCCGGAAATTTACCAATTTCCTGTAGGTTTTCTAGTTTTTTTGCATAGAGGTGTTCATAATAATCTGAGGATCTTTTGTATTTTTCTCAGTTGTAATGTCACCTTTGTCCTTTCTGATTAGGCTTACTTGGATCTTCTTGTTTTCTTTGTTAATCTAGCTAGCAGTCTATCAGTCTTGTTTATTTTTTCAAAGAAGCAGCTTTTGGTTTCGTTGATTCTTTGTATGGGTTTTTGGGTCTCAATTTCATTCAGCGCTGCTCTGATTTTAATTTTTTCTTTTTTTTTTTTTTTTTTTTTTGCTGGCTTTGGGGTTGGTTTGTTCTTTTTCTAGTTCCTGTAGGTGTGATCTTAGATCATTAATTTAAGATCTTTCTAACTTTTTAAGGTAGGTGTTTACTGCTATAAACTTTCCTCTTTATACTATTTTTGCTGTGTCCCAGAGATTTTGATATATTGTTTCTGTTTTCATTAATTTCCAAGAATTTTTTTATTTCTACCTTAATTCCATTGTTTACCCAAAAGTGATTCAGGAGCAAGTTGTTTAATTTCCATGTACTTATGTGGTTTTGAGCAATTTTCTTGATAATGATTTCTATTTTTATTCCACTGTGGTCTGATGAAAGTATGGTTGGCATGATTTTTATTTTTTTTATTTCTTAAAACTTACTTTATAGCCAAATGTGGTCAGTTTTGGAGTATGTTCTGTATGCAGATGAGAAGAATGTATATTCTGTGGTTGATGGGTGGAATATTCTGTAGATGTCTATTAGGCCCAATTGGTCAAGTGTTGAAGTTAAGTCTAGAATTTCTTTGTTGTTTTCTGCCTCGGCGATCTCTCTAATGCTGTCAATGTGGTGTTGAAGTCTCCCACTACTAAAGTGTGGGCTAAGTCTTTTTGTAGGTCTAGAAAGAAATACCTATTTTATGAATCTGGGTGCTTCAATGTTGGCTGTGTATATATTTAGGGTAGTTAAGTCTTCTTGTTGAATTGAACTCTTTATCATTATGTAATCCCTTTCTTTGTCGTTTTTTACTATTGTTGGTTAAAAGTCTGTTTTATCTGATATAAGAATAGCAACCCCTGCTCATTTTTTGTTTTGTTTTGTTTTTTCTTGAGACGGAGTTTCGCTCTTGTTACCCAGGCTGGAGTGCAATGGTGCAATCTCGGTTCACTGCAACCTCCACCTCCTGGGTTCAGGCATTTCTCCTGCCTCAGCCTCCCGAGTAGCTGGGATTACAGGCACGTGCCACCGTGCCCAGCTAATTTTTTGTATTTTTAGTAGAGACAGGGTTTCACCATGTTGACCAGGATGGTCTTGATCTCTTGACCTCGTGATCCACCCGCCTCGGCCTACCAAAG